TTATTTTCCTTGTATTTATTTTTTTTAAATTTGTGAATTTATTATAGAATATATAGTAGTTATTAAGTATACTTTATGAACCAACTGTAATAAACAGGTAGTACTTTATAGAACACTTCCATTATATTGCATCTTTTATTTATTTATTTAGTTTCTTTGGGTCTTTTTTTTCATTCAATAATTCAATAATACTTGTGCTAGGTTTGATACAAGTAGAGAACTAAATTATTAAACATTTGTATCTATATTATATAATTTGGATACTGAACTCTTCAATAGTTAAAGAATATTTCTTTCTATATATGTATATTAAGTTTTTATACTGATTAGTCAAAGTATAGTTTTAAGAGAAAGAGGTTGATAGAAGTGACAAAAACTTTTCCTTTCATTATTCTAAGTTTGAAGATATTATTAGACAAGATATCATAAATATAAAAGAGTTCTTTTCATTTTGGTTTCAGATTTTCTGTAAAGTATTTATCTCTAGTAACATTATACATTAATACTTTATTTCTGATTTTTTATTTCTTGTACTTGGTTAAATTTTGGTTAAATTTTTGTTTTTGTCTTTGTTGTTCTTTATAAATATTTCTTCTTGCTTGTTTTTGTTACCATAAAAGTTTTTCTAATAAAGTATAAAATTGTTAGTTATAATATTTCATTCATGTTTATTATAAATATTGTTAATATTAAATTGGCAAGCCTGTTGCTAATAGCAGCAAGAACTCACCATATATCAAGGTTGGGTTATGTTTTCTTGTCTTGAAAGAGATGAGTAAGACTTTAGTTAATTGCTTTCTTTTTTTTTATATTAAGTACTATCCTTTTTTTCCTGTTGCTATTGTTTCTCTTGATAATTCTTTCACAGTTTCCTTTAGTAGATCTCAATTATCACTTCCTAACTTGGTGAGTATTAAAAAGAAAAGTTTCTTAAATAAAAGATTCTTTATTAGCAGAGCAATGATTCCTTATTATCTGATCATTCTTCTTTTTTTTATTAAAATTGTTATTATTATCATTGTTTCTATTTGAAAGATTGTTTAAGTTTTGATAATCACCAGTAATTATAAGACAATTGAATTTGTGTCTTAAATTCTTCATTCTTTAATTTTGCTCTTGAAATTTGATAAAAGTTATAATCACAAAGTTGATTTTGAAATTTTTTTTTTAGAAGTGAATATAAATAGATTTTATCCAAAATAATTTATATGAATTAGATTATTATTGATTAGATATTATCTGTTCTTTGTTTTCTTTTACTGATATATTTAGCTTTAAAGGGGTATCTGTTTTAATCAGATAATTTCTTATACTAGTTGCAAAAAGTATAAAAATAATAGTCTTTAGCTTTTTCTTTACAGAAAGACAATATCTTTCTACAATAAACTATTCAACTTTATAACGTGATTTTTCTTGATCAGGATTGTAGAATGCAACAAAATTAGTAGTTGCAAAACTATAATCAGAGTTCCAATTTTTATCATTTTCTTGAAGCATATAGATAGTGATACTGCCTTAGAAGAACAAAATAAGAATTGTGCCAATTTAGACTTGTAGTGAACAGGGTGTTTTTATAAAATAAAAGAAAATAGGAATAGAATAATGAAGAATAAAAGAAACTATTCAAAAAAATATCAAAGAAAATTAAAAGAAGATGAAATTCACAATTAAATATATTGAACCTTTCAGTTTTTTCCTTAACAGACTTCAAAATTATTGATAAAAACAATTTTCAATTTTTAATGATTTAATTTATTCAATATATGTTTTGTTTCAAACATTATTAAATAAATTAACATGAACAATTCAAAATTATTGTTTTGGTCAATTTTACAACCCTGTCCTAATATTGAAATCAAAAGATAACAATATATAAAAATTAATTTTCAATAGAAAAACAAATGAAAAATATAAAAGAAAAATATGAAATAAATATAATTTTATTAAAAGAAAATACAAGAATTCAAAAATTTATAATTATAATGAGGTTTTTTTTTCACAGTTAAAGAAAATTGCAACCTTTTTATAATATTTTGATCAATTGTAGGTCACTTCTAATCTAATTATTTATGTGTGGTTTATCTATTTACACAAAAGATTTGACTAAAGAATTATTTGTTACACTTAGAATAATTATCAAAGAAAATTCTTATCTATAAGCAAAAAAGCAAAATTACTCAAAATATCAATAAAACAATTGCTTTTATAAAAATATTTCAAAACATACAGTATATAATATTCTTCTAAATATTTTTGATAAAATTATATAAATTGATACTAAACATGCAATCTAAAAATAATGAGTTGAAAGCTTAAGTCACTGATTTCTTATTGAAAGAATTAAATTTCCGACTTATAACTGAAATTAATAAGCTTAAAAAAAAAGAATTTATTTATAAGTAAAAATATTAAGTTCTTGATTAAGATTGTAGAATTAAAACAATCTATAAAAGAAGATGCTAAAATTATAAAGTTAAGAAATGCTAAACTTAATAGCAGAATATTAGAATTAAAATGATTAACAAAAAAAAATAAAGAGCTTAGAAACAGAGTAACAAAATTAAAACAGAATTAGTGCATTGATGCTAATACCAAATTGCTATTTGATGAAACAAATTTTAACAATACTTTTGAACAGATAATCTTATGTAATAAGGAGCCTAATATACTGTATTTAATTTTGACATATACCAGGATTTGATAATCTCACATATCTTACAGAAACCATATAATTTGCTTTTCAAAGTGATTTACATTGCCTGGAAGAGTATATAGAAAATAAATTTCAAAATTTAAAACAGAGAAATAGTTAGAAAAGAGATAATTCAGAACATTAAAGAGACGAAACTTTGAAATAAAGAGTTACTATCCCTAAGATTTGTATATCATTGAATAAGAATGTTTTCATATCCAAAGAAGAGAAACAATTACTTAATAAAGATCAAAATATTCAAGATACAAACCTTTTTTCTTTTGAATCTAAATCGTCCATTATCTCTTTATCCAATTAGGAACAAGTGCCATCTCTTTCAAATAAAAATTCTCTATAATCAAAAGGTTGAACAAGGTTTAATATGTTAGTTATCTACATTTATTAATGAAAAAATCCTTTTTGAATCCCATACCTGATAGACAAATTCTTGAAAACATGCTAGATGGAGATGATTCAACTCTAGGTTCTGCATCGCATTTGGCCCATTTATTCGACAAGGCTAAAAAAACTGGTCAGAAAGAAATTTTACGTTGGTATTGTTATAGTGAGGAATTCGAAAAAAGGTAACAGACATTAGCTTTAAAAATGAACTTAACGATCAAATGGTGAGAACACTGATTTTAAATGAAATGGAACCATTTCTTCCTGGAATTAAGAGAGAGTATTTGCGAAAGAAAACTCAAAAGGCTAGAAACATTTATACATTATTCAAAGAAATAGGAATAGATAAAATCAAACAAGTTATGTATAGTAGTGATGCTATTTCTAGTTTAACAGGTGTTCAAATCCAAAATATGATAAAGATTTTCTCTGAAAGCCTAATGTAGAATTATTTAATGAGCAAGTCGAATGTCAAAAGATGATCGGCGTAAAGAATCCTCACGTGCAAACAACCAAACCATCTTGCTCAAATGACATATCAAACATTGAGGTAAGTATATCATTTAATTTATCTCCAGAAAATTAAACTGAGGTAAGTACATCACATATATTTTCATCCAATCCAGCTCATAGCTATGCATATTTCCGTAATAAACCATTAGAACAATATCCTAACTTACAGTATATCAAGAAGGTAGTGATGAAAACGATAATTATTATGGGATTGCCAATGAGTCTTTGTGTACGCTATGCAAATTAGTTCATGACGATGATAATGGTATAGAAGATAAATATGAAATTGGATCCTATTATATTAAATGCGAACAGTGTGGAATTGAAATTGAGGTAATGGCACGAACTTAAACTTATACCAATACAATTCGCTCAAGTCTTTAAGGTGTCCCTCTGAAGCATATTTATTTTTCGTTAGTTATTGTTAATTTGAAGAGATATGCAATAATATAAAATAGGACATGAATACACATTTAAAGGCTAGGCTCTTTAAGGGCGACTCTACGAGTTATAAAACATTGAATCCCGAGTATTTGGAGTTAGTGGCTAAATTAATAGAATTACCAAGCATTTTAACAGATAAAATTCGTTCTAGGTTATATAAAAGATATAAGAATAAAACTGGACTTGATCCCTGAATAGACTTTGAAGCTTCTAAATCCTCCTAAATCGAAGAAGATGCTGATAATTGTATCTCACGAGACTGTATTATCAAAATTTTAAGTTTCCGCAATCCATGAAGCAGTACATAAACACTTCCTTTCTTGATACATACCAATTCTAATGTATGGCATCGATATGTATTAAATATACTGATTCAGAAGCTAAATGATCTGTATGCAAAGAGGTACATACACATTGAGGCATATGGGGCGACTGGATCTATCTCGGTAAAAATGATCCCTATTTTCTTAACTGTCCTTTTCGTATCGATCAAAAAAATGTTATTGTTGCTTTACAATTCATTCAAACAAAACCCGCCTTTATCAATATGCTGTTGAAATTGATATTGATCCCGAAAAATTTTCCTTCATTACAGAGCTAAGAAAGATAGGATGTTTTAATGGAGATTTAGAAATAGATATACACTTTAATCGCGGTGGAATAGAAAGTAAAGAAGACCCTAGAAATATCGTAAATTTTTAACAGATCGGGATTACGTCGCAGTATAGCAAAGGGTGGTTTAAGTATGCATGGCTAGACAGAATAGGAGGAAATCCACACTCAATTTATATGAATTTTTAACTAGAAAAATAATATAAATGTAACAGTGCATAGATCATTTTTCGTATTGATCACAATATGTTATTCGTGAAAAAAAAAACAATGGGTTTACAATATGCAGACATATAAGCTAACTTTTTACACTTTAGTTAAATAAACCCCAATCCTCCTACTCTTGGTCTACTCTTCCGTGCACAAAGACTAGGGGTTGCTCGTTGCCTATGTTTAAAGCATCACACAAGGTTATATATTTCAGAATTTGAACACGATATACAATACATTTAAGGCAAGGTAACTTACTGGCAGAAGAAAAAGAATGTGAATTAGCGACTTGACTGGTAGCTTGTTGACAATTGGAAGTCCGAAGATTATATGGTTTACCGCCAAACGCAGTTTGTTTGAGCTGACCGAGAGTTACACCTTCTTCGCAATGATGGAATTCGTTAAGTTTCCATACATCTTTGCCCTTTTTTATTATTTTATTAATATCCGTGGATATTACGGGGTCGTCAGACTTACACGTTCAATCAGATATTGACAGCCATCGCTGGTGTTCGCTTTAATTGCATAGTGGTTGGCAACAGTTCCTAGGACCATTAGACTATATTCGCCTCCGTGATCGATAGAATGGGAAACTTCTGAAAAATACAAAACAGGCTTTTCTGAAGGAGAAAGAAAAGGTCATCGAAAGTATTTTCTCGATACTTTGACTGTGTGTCTTTTTAGGGTTCTCATACTCACCTAACTCGCTCTCGCTTACTGGAGCATATGTATCATCTTCTTTTCCTGACATCTTTCGAAAAGAAAATTTTTGAGAATCGTTATAATGACCGAAAATTTATTTACATTTGTTAAATGAATACAAAAACAGCATATTCATTTGCAGATTGTATAACACAATAACTATAAATAGTAAATTTTCTTATCAATAAATAACCAAATACAATACTGTGTTCAATAGAAAAGGATCCATTTCAGGTGTAAATTAAATTTTTGCTTAATAAAAATATAAATTTTTTTATAATTAGTGTATTTATTTAATAAATACTGTATATTAATTTTTTGGCAAAATTTTTTTAATTATTGAAATTTTTCTATTATAATAAATCTATAGAAATTCATAATTCTATAATAACACTTTTTAACTTTATTTATATTAGAGAAATAAGGCTTCGCAAGATTTATTTAAAATTTCTCTGCGATTTTACAAAACTCGCTGCATGAGTGACACACGGGGAGTATTTTTCTGCACCCCAAAATAGTAACTTAAACTCTGCTTCTATTTCGAGTGTATGAATGGACATAATGGAAATGCCAAGAACTCAGATGCAAAGCATCCTGCTTCGCAAACAAAGAAAAGATACATTAGTGCATTATGCAATTTCGGAGAATAAAATTCCTTTGGATTCGAAATTGCTCCCGGGAGGCGGGGCTAGTTAATGCAATGATGATCTCTGAAACTTCAACCCCATAACTTAGGGGTTTTAATATGAAAGCTAATAGAGAATATCAAGCTTTTCCTCCTACAGTATAACCTTTTTAAGTTTCATTTTCGTATGTTTTATCGCAAAAGCGTGTATGGAAGAAAGAAATTTTCCTATGTAAAATAAAGCACGATTATCTATATAGTACAGTTATATATGTTCTATGAGACTGTCATTTCTCTGAAATACTTCTATGCTGATTCATAAATTAAAAACCCATGACATCGTTCCTGGATGCCGGCAACTAATACAAAAGATATATTTTTGTGAGACATATTGTAATTATATAAAAATTTTATGTTTTGAAAGGAGGGGGTTTTATGATAATGATAATGATAATAACGATGTCGTCAGTATGCTCAAGATCAAAACCTTTAAAAAAGTTTTCCTCCAACTGTAGAGGCTTTAACACACTATTGACAGGATACTCCATATAAAGATTAAATGTCATCAGCCGATTCTTCTTTCAATCAAGAAGTTAGTTTACTCTTTACTTTTTCTTTGATGTTGCTAACTTTGTCTTTCCAGGAAATATTAATTGTAAATGTTTTTTCGACTGAATCATCACGGACTTAAAACTTAATAGGGAAGATGTCAGAAGTCTTAGACATTTTATGTTCGTATAGATAAAGCACTGTTCAGAATTATAGAATTACTATATATAAATTATGGAAGAACAACCCATCCCAGATACATATCTAATGTTAAGTAAAAAAAAGTTCATAAGAATTATTTGACTTACGAAGCTGGAAATCTTTGATCTAAAGTAAAGCATCAGAAAACTCTGCTTATTTATAACTCTCATTATGTTTAATCTCGAATCTGCTAGAAGAAAAAAAAATTGTGTTATTCAGTCATCTGCTAATATGCTTCCAAAATTTAATGGATTCCTTACCTTGTATAGCTAATCCATAAATGCCAAGAACTCAACAAAGAAGAGACTTATGAATATATTACACAATCTTTGGAGGTTTCATTTCCTTTAGGGTTGAGATCACTCCAAATTGGTTAATGCAATGATGAACTGGAATCGCGGAAATTTCAAACCCCATAACTTGATATTTTGTTATGAAAATTAATGGATATTGTTGAATGTTTCCTCTTATAACATTTTAAAGCTTTATTTTACATGCCTTATCACAAAAACATGTGTGGAAGAAAGACATTTTCTATGTAAAATAAAAACAACTATCTATGTAGTACAGTTACACGATTATACATGTTTCACAAGACTGTATCATTTCTCCAATTTGCGGATTTAAAACACATGACATTGCTTCCTTGATGTTTATTGCAACGTAAATAAATTAAATATATTTTTATTATACATCATAGTAACAAAAAATGTCTTATGAAGGAGTAATACCTAAAGGAGTATAGTCGGAAATCCAATTTGAGTAACGTATAACTACTTATGATTATCATACTTATATGTATATTAAATCATTAAACTATAAAACTAGTACGTATATATAATAGTCATACATATACGTATGCTTATATACATAATAAACTTTTAGAATGTTAATAAGTAAATAATTATTGACTTTTTTTTTTGTACGAATAATCTTTGAAAAATATTTTCGTAATGAATAATTTAATTACTCAAGTTATCGATGAAATTGAAACAATTTATGAAGAAGACCTTAAAAAATATGAAGATGAAAGCGTAAGTATATAAATTATAAATATTATGAATTAAAAATATTAAAAAGTATTTTAAATTTTAGGATTCGATGATTGATAATGACTTTCAAGATATTGAATACAATTCAATAACTACAAATGATTCAAATAATGAAGAAGAAGTAACATATTTTACAAAAGAATTAGCTTCACAAATTGTTTATCATACTTTAACACCAATAGAATATCCAAAAACAAGTTCTGAAGGTGTTGCTTATATTTATAATGTTGAAGGCTGGGAAGAACCATTATCCGCATTTAAAGATATAAGTTAAATTTAAAAAATCTAGTTAATTATATCATATGTTAAATTTAAAAAATCTAGTTAATTATATTATATGTTAAAATTTATTTTTTAGATTCAATATTCAATTGGTAAACCCGGTGGTGAATACAAGGTCATGTGTTCTTATCTTGGGGTTGAAGTAAAACGTGAAATGAGAACTTGTCAAGGATCAAAACTTTGTGAATTCGCTGCTGATGAACTTCAAAACGAAACACACCAAAGTGTAAATATTAATTCTGATCTTATGATACGAATTACTCAAGAAATATCATCAGATAATATTAATAATAATACTTTTGAGTAAGTAGATTAGAAAATTTAAATTACAAGTTAAGATAATAATTATTTATTATTTTTATAGATTTTACCTTACTATTCAAGAAATAGCATGTAAATTTCAAAAAAATAAAAAAATATGTGATGGAAAATCTATTTTACGTCGATTATCACGTCAAGATAACTTAGAATCCACATATTTTATTGGATGTACGAAATGGAAACCTTCAGAAAAATATCATAGATTTATTAGTATTCCTTCTAATATTAGTATTGAAATTTTATGAGATTTATTAAATAATGATTATGAAGTAAGTATAATTTTATTTATTATATTTAAATAAATAATTTATTTATTAAATAATTTAATTTTTTAATATATAGCCTAATGAATATGATAAAAATCAAATTATAAATACATGCTATACCGTATTATCAAATTCTTCAAAAAAAAATATTGTGGTAAATATTAAATTAATTTAAATAAAAATTTTAAAATTATTTAATATAAATAATATTTTATTTTTATTTAGCTTATCCACATCAATTAGAAAATAAGATTTGCCGTGGTCATATTAAAAAAAAATCTTGTAATGTGGAATTTTATAAAATTATACCTTTGGATCTTCAAGCATGTCCATTCATAATTCTTATATGTAGAGGAATACATACACATCCACCACAACCTCCTATATGAACACCTAATAATATTAAACAAAGATTTCAAACTCTTATTAAACAAACTAATGAAGATTTATTGGATGTTACCCCTACTCGTATTATAACAGGTAATTATATTTTTAAATTATAAAGTTAATAATAATTAATTTATTTATTTAAAATTTATTTAACATAGGAAACTTAATTAAAACTTACTTTGGAGTTGATAATCTATGTGAAGTTTATGTATCTCTTAATGATACTGATAAATTACGTTATTGTATTAATAAAATACAAAAAGAAAAACATCCATTTGGACAAGATTTATTAGGTGTTATTTATAATTTTTCACGAAATATCGATAATATTCAAGAATATATTCAACGATTAAGTATATAATTTTATTTTATATAATTTTATTTATTTTTTTAATATATATGATTTATTAATTTATTTATTATTTTAAATAAAATTTTTTTAATGACGGTCATATAATGATTTTTTGTACTACTAAAGTACAAATAGAAAAATGAATTAAATGTGATTATTTTGAAATTGATTTATCTTTTAAAAGAATTTCTGGAGAAATCAATGAGTTTGAAATTAATTATTATGACAAAAATTATAATACATGTAATTATTTCATTCATTTAATATACAGTATGAGTCATATATTTTTGGAATTTTTTTAACTTTGTATTTTATCTTAATATTAAATAAAAAAATC